TTCAGGGTCAACCTGGCTTTGAGCTGTATAATCTAAGTCAAAATCTCTTTGAGATATAGTTCTTCACTGAAAAAAAAGGAAACAATAATAGAGGTCTTGAAAGACCCTCAAAATTCAAGGTGCTGAATGAGATGGTTACGAATATACCCAACAATGTGTAGATGATAAGCAAATTTTGCCAGTTTTTACCTTTTTTCTTCCTCCCACCCTCCTCCCTCTGTATTAGTCCATTTCCAGTTATTGTATGAAAATTATTAAGGCTGGCTACTTCACAAAGAAAATAAATGTATTTTGGCTCATGGTTCTGGAGGTGCAGTCTAGGCAATGGCAATGGGTTCTTGCTGGCAGCGTCCCAAGGTAGCACAGAGAGTCACTTGCTGAGAGACAGGGAATGTATGTACATCTATCTGGTCTCTTTCCCTTTTGATAAAGCCACAGGATGCAATCCTATTCTAATGACATTTTCTAATCCAAATCATGCCCCTATTACCACCACAGTGCCAACCAGAATCAGGTTAAGTTTCTACCCTCTTCATAAATTAAACATCTGATTTTGGAGATTAAACTCTTGCGTGAGTTCAAACCACAGCTTCCTCTCCCCTTCCCCTCCTCCCTTTCTTCCTTCCATTCCCCTCTTCCTTCTTTACTCCTTCCCTTCTTATTTAGTCCTCTGAAGATCCTAGGTGCAAAGCATAAAGAAATAAATGAAGCATAGCCCCAGCTCTTTAGTAAGATGCTATTTCAGAGTGAGTGCAGATACATCAGAGCAATGAAGAAGTCGACTATTAAAAAGGTTGTAACAGATCAGAGAAGAGGAAGGTAAGATCAATTCTGCCTAAGGGCATGGGAAAGGTGACCAATCTTTGAAGTGGAAGTCTAATCCTGCCTGAAACCTACCTGCTCTGCTTTGCTGAGGACTGGACCTGAGACCCAGCACACACTCACACTATCTTTGGAATATGGTTGTGTTTCAGCTGACTGATTTAACTCTTGCACAAAGAAAGAAAAATGGGAGTAATAAACTGGATTTAAAATGGCATGATGGCAGAAATGTGCCATGTTACCAGGGCATGTAAGGTTTCCTCTCCATTCAGAGATTCTCTCTTTTTCCTTTTAAAAAAATAAAGACCCTATAACACTGGGTGGCATATCCAATGTTGCAAAACCAAAACCTGGTGGAACTTGGATGAGACTCACATCATCATATTCCCTGATCACAGATCGTTCTGCTTCTGCCTTTCACTTCTGTAGCCTGAGAAACAAATAGGAAGGAAGAAAGAGAGGAAGAGGATGGAAGAGAGGGGAGAAAGGAAGAAAGGAAGAAAAATGTAATGGAGAAAGGGATGGAGAGTGATTGCAACAATTTATTGTTTTGTCAATAAATAAATTTTAAATTCTTTCAATGCTAGCAAACTCCATAGTTTGAGTTACACAGCTAATCAAGCTGTATGGGTGTTGTTCGTTGTTCTCATTCACTAAGGACAAAATCTTTCTGTAATTGCCTTCCTCCCTAATCTCATCTGCCCTGTCATACCATCTCTGAGAATATCTGTTAGAAAAATCAGGTTTATGAATAGCTCATATTGTGGCTCTCCAATGTGACTGGAAGGAACAATTTCTCATTCAAAGAGACCTGTGATTGAGGCAAAACCAACGAAGAGACATTATTCCCTTTTTCAGACCCCAAACAAATTTTCAGTTAGAATGCTTTATACATACTATCATAGGTTCTTATTAGCTGCATCCATTTGTGGTCAACCCACTGTAGACATAGACTTTTTGTTAAACAAAACAAAGAGGATATTTAATGACAGAAACAGAATTAGTTAATAAATAAGTCAAACAAGAAAAACTTCCTACATTCTATAAAATTGTTTGATGGTGTCACAAGATCCTCCCCTCTGGACCTGTTTCCCACAATGTATATAATCACACCTCTTAGCCCCATTTGCATATTGGAGGCACTGTGAAATCTGTGGAATTCGTATTAAAGATATCATAAAGACACAGAAGCCTAACTGATGGATCAGAGCACATGTGGAAGAGTACTGGAAAGAACTGAAAAGCATTGGACAGGTGGTGGTCCCACTATTACAGTCCACAGGCAAAGTTGGCCCATCTCTTATCCTGGGATGAGCAGAAGAAAAGAGAGTGAAAAAGCAAAGGTAGAAGCACTCAAATCATCCTGGACATGTAAACCTTCCACTTGACCACAGTTAGTTTTGTCTTCTTTACTTTTTGTTGTTGTTGTTGTTGTTGTTATTGTTGTTTTTTTCCCCTGCAACTTCTCTCCCAGGATTTCCAAGTCTTCCTGTTCTTTCTAGCACCTCATTTAAGCCTGATTTGATCATGATAAAGGGTGAGAGTAACCTCAAATCACATTCCACCCCCCAGCAAAAGTCCTGCCTGAGCTTTTAGGAAAGATAGTGTTTATCATCAGAGCATTTTCAAGGATTCCAAAATACCGTGCGTAGTAACCACTGCCCTGAAAATGAACATGTCTATAAAAATTCCATTTCATAGGTTAATTTGAACAGGACCATTGACCTTTTCTCCGTAATCCAAGTGCACTCTGTGATCAAGAGCAAAGAGTAAACACAAGCCTAGTCCACACAGTCCTCCACTTAACAGTTTAGCATTCTAACAAATTAATCAAAAATGTTTGTTTGTGGTAGAAGAGAGAGCAAAGCAGAGATTCAGAAAGCACATTGTTTGGATTTTTGTGAAGTTTCATACTTTCATGCGTCTATACCTCTGGGTTTCTGAATGTAAAGAGGGATAAAAACTTCCCAACAATCTAAGTCAATACCGTCTTCGCATCCCAAACTGAACAATTTGGTTGCGTTTTTCAACAGTGGCAGAACCAGCTGTCCACAAAGCGGAAAGCCAAAGGGGGCCAGTTAGAGAGGAAGAAATTAAAGAATAAAGGAAAAAGAAAGATGAAAGGTCCATCGGAGAGTGAGTGACAAGCCTGGAGAAAGGCAGCCTGCGCAGCGCTGGCTGCCCACCAGGGAGGTGAGCAGACCGCCTCGCGCTAGCCTGACAGGTGAATGGAGCGGCGCAAAAGGAGAAAGCGTGCGAAAGAAGGTCCTCTCGCAGACCGTCGCGGCTACGCCTGCCGAGCGGGGGCAGCAGAGGAGCTGGGCGCGAGTTGGGCGGAAGACGGCTGCGACAGGAGGCGGGAGGCTGGAGGCGGGTGCGCAGGCTACACGCCAGCCTGCGTACCACTCGCCCGCCGGACGCGCTCAGGGCTTCTCCTCTTCCTCCGACGCGGGGCGGCTGCCCAGACATCCCCGCCTCTAGGTCTGGAGAACTCCCGAAACCGCCCGCGGAGTAGAGCGAGGCCGGGAGTCTGGCGGTCCCCAAGGCGCTCTTTGTCGTGGAGACGCGGGGACTAGACCCTGGGATGAGCGGAGGAGGGCGGCGCGGGCACTGACGCGAGTTGGGACCAGGACAACCCGCCGCTGGCAGGGGGATGCGCCAGCCCCGGCAGACAACCTAACGGGGTGCACGCGCCAGGCGGAGCGCGCAGGTGGGACTGCGCTCTCCGTGGTCCGTCCCGCGCGGGTCCCCTGCTGGCCGGAGGATGGGCACTGGTGCCCCAGGGCTGCGCCCGCCGCTGCTGCCCCCACCGCGAGCCCGGCGTCAGGCTGGCGTCCCATGCTCATGTATGTAGACTGGGCGCTGGTCTTCAGGGATGAGGGTGTATGTTGGGTGTCCGCGCCCCACGCGCTGGGACGACGCCCTGCTGCTGGGGTGAACCCTCATTTCCCCGCAGCCCAAGTTTGTAAATATGGGAGGTTCGCCCCGGGTTAAGGTCGGCTGGACCCGGACTAGGAATGAGCAGAGAGCGGGTATGACAACCCTAATGGAGAGGGTTGAGGGGGAGGAGGACAAGCGCACTGGAGCATTTAGAGTGGGTGGGCGTTTAGGGAAGCCAGGTTGGGTTGCAATTGCATAGCAGTGATAGGGGCTTTCTATGCTCCTTTGGGTGGTAGAAACTTTGAGACCCAGAAAGGTTGGTTGGCATCCCTCCAAGTGAGATACTCTTACCCCTACTTTGCGTGCTGGAGCCCATACCTCCCCCACCGTCCACCTCGGTGTTTCTGGGCAGTCTCTATCACCAGGACCCCTCCCGGGTAAAAGCACTTCCAAGACTGAGCGCTATGGCTGGCTACCCAACCTCGCATCACCGCTCTAATCGCCCGTGACTGGTTGGGCACCGGGGGCTGGCAAAGGAACAGATGCCTTGGGAATCCCCGATTCTGCTATCCCGGAAGGGTGAGGGGTATCCTTCGGGGCAGCAGGGGTTAGAAAAGATAGAAAGCCTGTGCTCCCCGGACGGGAGGCATTTAAGAAGTTACGAATGAGTCACGGGGTCGAAGGAGAAGCCTTGTTAATCTGCTCCTCCCCCCTTTCCCCAGTAGAAGCCCTTAGGGCAAGTGAGAAAAGGTTTGCCTTTAATCTTCCTGCCCATTCAGTGTCCAGCTCCACTGCAGAATTTTCCATTTAATAACCTTGAAGAAATACGGCCAGGACCTAGGGAGGGACAACCAGTGTGCCTGAATTATGTGGTTTCTGTATGAGCTTTGCAGGCGGGCACGGCCGGCTCGCTGCATTCCCTAGCTCCTCAAGCCGCCGGTGACAATCTCCAACACTCTTCACCACTACAGAAGACCCTGCCGGCCGGTGTATTTCTTGGACTTCAATTCCAGTGTATTCCTCCACAATTTGCGATGTCTAAGAACCCCAGCTGTGCACTGACGCTAAGCATGCTGCCTCCGTCTCCGGCGTCCAGCTCTTTAATCTAGAGCTATGCTGGAGCCCGGGCGGCACCGGGCCGGGTGGGGGCCGCGGCGGCCGGGGCGCGCGCGGGCCGTGGGGCTCAGTTGTGCTGCTGTTCTCTCCGCAGGGACAGCGGCTCCCGGCTGGCGGCGGCGCGCTCCCGGGCTGTGAATGCGACTCTCCCTGTGTCCGCGCTCCCCGCCCGCCCGCCCGCCGGGACGTGGTAGGGGATGCCCAGCTCCACTGCGATGGCAGTTGGCGCGCTCTCCAGTTCCCTTCTGGTCACCTGCTGCCTGATGGTGGCTCTTTGCAGTCCGAGCATCCCTCTGGAGAAGCTGGCCCAGGCACCAGAGCAGCCGGGCCAGGAGAAGCGCGAGCACGCGTCTCGGGACGGCCCGGGGCGAGTGAGCGAGCTCGGGCGCGCAGCGAGAGACGAGGGCAGCAGTGCCCGGGACTGGAAGAGCAAGAGCAACCGTGGGTTCTCCAGCCGCGAAGCGTGGAGCAAGCAGAAGCAGGCCTGGGGTGTCCAAGGCGGTGGCGCCAAGGCCGGGGACTTGCAGGTCCGACCTCGCGGGGACACCCCCCAAGGGGAGTTCCCGGCCGCAGCCGCCCAGGACGCGATCAGCCGGGAACTCGCGCCTACGCCAGAGCTGCCTGAGGAGTACGCGTACCCAGACTACCGAGGGAAGGGCTGCGTGGACGAGAGTGGCTTCGTGTACGCTATTGGGGAGAAGTTCGCGCCGGGTCCCTCTGCCTGCCCGTGCCTGTGCACCGAGGAGGGGCCGCTGTGCGCACAGCCTGAGTGCCCGAGGCTGCACCCGCGCTGCATCCACGTCGACACGAGCCAGTGCTGCCCGCAGTGCAAGGAGAGGAAGAACTACTGCGAGTTCCGGGGCAAGACCTATCAGACTTTGGAAGAGTTCGTGGTAAGAGGACAGGCGACTTTGCACTTTCCTGGAAGGGGTGAAGCAGTTTTTGTTCTATGGTTCCCTACTATTAAGAGGCAGTTTTTGGTTCTCATGACCCTTTAACAAGACCTCTCTTTTACATTGTAGAGGTAACACTTCCAAGAGGATATTTGGCCAATCCATATTGAGTGCCTAGATATTCACTATAAAAGGGTTTCATTAGAAGGAAGCCCAAGGTAATGAAGGGAACAGCTCCAAAGTACCAACTGTACTTTCAACGTGAATGTATGGCTTCTAAGAAGTACTATAGGTGAAATGCTCAACCTGTTTTCAAACAGGGTAATTTACTATGACACTTGGGATATATTCTTAAACTAACAGCTGATTAACACACACACACATACATACACACACACACGCCATTTCCCTAAATTATTTGTTCACGGTATCATGCAAATGTTCTAAAAATTAAAAGAAAAAGAAAACATTGGCTAATTAGGCTCCAAATCATACTGGATGGCAAAATCACAAAGTCCAGTTTATAGTTAAAAATGATTTCATTTCAGAAGAGTAGCAGTAATATTCACAGTACTAGTCATGGCCCCAATGTTTCTGTATTGGGCCCCAGGCTATGTTTTTCATATGCATTAGTTTATTTAAATTTCATATACCATGCTAGAAGGTAGATTATTGTCTGTTATCTCCATTTTATAAAGAGGAAACTGAGACACAGAATATTTAAATAACTTGAAGGCAATGAAGCTATTAGAAAGCAGATCCATCAGTTAGAACTCTGCAATGCTACTCCATAGCTCACGCTTTTAACCCTTACTCACCACCTTGAACCAAAAGCCCAGCCCTATTGAGGTGTGGATTTGCTTGGAGGTGCTGCCCAGCACGCATGCGCTGGCCCTGGGTAAACTCTCCTCCGCTAGGGGACTCTGAGAGAACTCAGCAGATGTTCAGCATTTCCAAACTCCTCAAGGTAGATTCAACCCATGACTGGCCCTGGTCTGGGCCCCTTGACTTAACAAGCAACAGATTCTTTTTTTTTTTTTTTTTTTTTTCTCGCCTGCAGAGGGCATACTGGAACCTACAGCCCCTAAAGAGGAGTTTGGAAGGCAGGTAGGGAGGAACTCTTGAGGAATCTGTGAGAGCTGCTGATTCCAGGGCACATTACTGAGTTGTAGCAATGTGTTATCGAGTTGTATAGACATGTAAAGGCAGAAATGACAACACCATAGATAATGTACAAATATGGAATGAGTCCTGGGATTTAGAGTCAGGAAACATGGGTTTCATTCTGGCTTGAACATTAGGCAACTATATTACCAAAACAGAGCACATGTCCCCTCTGGATTTCTTTTCTCACCTCTGTAGTGTGAGGGTCAAGCTATCAGTAAGGCTCATGAGCAAAGTATAGTTTCAGACATAAAATATTTAATTACTTACAGTCTTTGGCTTCAGCTCTTTAGAGAAAGACAACTCTGGTGAGAATTTCCCATGAACCATCCCTAAGTGATACATTTCTGAGTCAGGAACTCTTCTCTCCAAATCCCTCCTGTTGGTTGGGAAGTCTGGTGTATACTTCTTCAGATGTTTTGGTCACTACACAAAATACACAGGCAAAAGCATCCATGGGTGCTAAGGAGCCTAAAGAGGCACCTTCCATTTTGCTGTGGGAAAATATCATAGGTACTGGCTCAATAAAACAATTCTCTTATAAGTAGTTGACTTTCATTAAGATAATCAAACTTTTATAAGGTCAAAGATAGGCAACTGTTCTTAAATTAATAACATTTGTTGTTTGCAATATTTAGTGTTCCACAGTTTTTTTCTTATAAAGTTTCCATAAAATAAGCTGAAGAATTACTACCACTTTCATCTAAAGAGCCCAAATACTTCTCAGAGTGGCCATTCATCCCGGGTAGAAGGAAAAACTGAAACTTGTTTTTTTTTTTTTCTTTTTTTCTTTTTAACTCATGGCCAAGAACAGCCCTAAAGCTGTCTTTGCCTCTAGGGGAAAAGAATCTCTTCTTTGATTTCTGTTTGCAAAAACTGGTAGTCAATACATAGAATGTGTTTTTCAAACTCTGGGGATGGAAGATGATATTGACCAAAGAGGGACTGGAAAGATTACAATCTTATAAAACCAATAAAGCTGTTTTTAGAGTATTAAGTGCATCTTTCATCTTCAAATGACATTTTATTCTTAACTTTCATCTTAGGATCCACACATGCTTAAATGCTGAAAAGTTATTATGAATTTTTAATTATATGCTTTCTGCTTTCTCTTACGTACACTACAGAAAGGTATTTTTTGTATGGTGTCATGTTTTCTCATTTCTGTTAGCATCAGGTAAATTTCTAGGTATTTCTCTTACGTAGTGTGGCTTTGTGCATACCACGTAGTGTCTCTGTTTTTGTTTCCTACAATGTTGAAAGGAAAACCCAGCATTTTGATGACAGGTATGGAAAAGACGAATGCAGAAGGAGGTAGGGCCAGCTGTAAGTCCATGGGGTTCATGGGGTGCAGTAAAGGAAATTTGTTGTGATGCTGAGGCCAGACCAAAGCACTTGGTAACATGCCTGCTCTGGGTATTGTGGGCTTTAGAGAGAGATAAATTGTAGGTCTGCAGTTTGCACAGCACAAAGTATATGGAAAAAGAAAAAGGAAGCATTTTCTATCAGAAGTGCTTTGAGCTACTCTGAAGAAAATGTAATTCAAATGGAGATTGTGGCACAATAAGGTCATACTTGGAACAGTGTTTACCTTGGCACAGAAGGAAGTGAGAGAGAGATGGCGCCTGGCTCTCTTTCTCTGAGAGATGAACAGCCCTGCAATAGTCTATTCTCTACTTCCTGAGAGGAAATCACTACTGATGGAGTCTGGACCCACCTTGACTGTGACTGAAGTGAGGAGCAGATAAAACTCCTGAGCTGCTGTTGCCTATGATGTGCAGGGCATTTGGCCCCAACAATAATGGCTTCTCCTTAGCTTCCTGGATTTCTGAGTCTTTGGGCACATAAGCTTTCTTGCCACTTTCTGTGCCAAGTATTGTACAAATTCCAAACCTCTTCCCTCTTCTTTCTGGATTCTTTTACTCATCAAAACTCCTCTTCCTTTACAGTCTGTTTAATCTCAGCCACATGGGTAGAAAACATCACTGATACAACAAAACGCCATTAAGTTGCTAGTAATAATGAGTGTAGCATCCCCATTCATTAGGGAATGGTTGTAACTTAATTTGTGAGTCCAAAGAAAAATATAGATAGTAGCAGAGTTTTTTTCTCTACTAACTCTTAAGTTGTACCGAATATCTTATTCTTCAACCTGTGCCACCAGACATCCAACTTTGAGGAAGCCTGTTCATTGGTTTATATATGTTTTATAAATAATTCATATCTGTGCTTCCTAGGATATATTGACTTTCTAGGGCTTAAATAACAAAGTACTAAAATCTGGGTGCCTTAAGCAACAGAAACTTATTGCCTCATAGTCCTGAGGGCTAGAGGTCTAGGATCAAGGTGTGTACAGGTTTGATTCTTTCTGAGTCCTATTTCCTTGGTTTCCAGGTGGTTTCGGTGTCTCTATCTGTTTTTCCCCCTGGAGATATGTCTGTGTCCATTTTTTTTTTTTTTTTTTTGCTAGCACTGGGACTCAGGTTCTTGTGCATGCTAGGCAGGAAGTACTCTACCATTGAGCTGTGGCCCAAACCCAAGCTTCTTCTTCTTCTTTTAAAGTCACCAAAACTAATGGATTGAAGCCAACTCTAATGATCTCTTAATCACCTCTTTAAATAACTTGTCGTATCCCCAAGTGCATTCAGATTCTGGGGTATTTAGGGGATATAATTGCAAAATATGAATTTGAGGGGGACACAATTCTGCCCATAACGTAGGATGTCTGTGACCAGAGTTGACCTTGTAGAAACAGACCCAAGGAGCATTGATTGGGGAAGGATGCACTAGTAAATATGAATAAAAGGAAGAAAGTATTTACAAAGAATGCAGAGATTAAGTGGTAATGAACTCACTGATGAATATAAATACCCAAATGGCCTCCGATGCATATTCAGTTTCTGTGTCTATTCTATTCTTAGTGCTCCTTTTGGAATTCTTATATTACTTATGTGAATAGATCCTTTTATCATAGATAACTAAAAGGTGAAGGAGGGAGGGGGTTATTGAGCAGTTTTACATCTGCCCTTAATGATCACTATTCATTCCACAAGCAAATCAAATTTGAAATTCATTAATAAAAGTACTTCTATTGTGATCAAGAGAATAAGTTGTTCCCGTTATGAGAATTATGGTCTCCTGTTGGATTGTGACGTTTGAACAGGAGTCTACAGCCTTGTTTCAGTGTTTTATAGAATCTAATGAAATCTGTGCTTTCTGAAATAAGGCCTTATAGGATAACTAAATCATTATGTTCCTTTGTGTTTAGTTGGGGTGGTATCAGTTCAGGGTGTCAGCAATGGTCATCAGAGCTGATCAGAAGCTCTTGATTGAGAATTGTATAAGACTTTGAAAAAAAAGAGAGAATGAATTATTAATAAGTGCGGCTTGCTAGACTACCTTTCAAAGCTTGAAAAATGTTGAAAGGGGTTCTGGTGGACAAATTGATCTGGGACCATAGAGAGCCAACTGCTCTCCCATGGCTTCAGTGTCTGACTTGCCATTAACCCCATTGCAAAATCTCATTTCTGGACTTTTATCAATGAAAAATTATTCTCACATGAAATTTGGAACCAAACCCTTCATCTAAATAGATCTCTATTAAAACTTTGAAATTGTGCCAGTAAAGAGAAAGACACAATTAATCATACTTTTCAGTCTTCATATTCTTGTGGCTGATATTGCTGAACCAAAAATAATGTTATTATTATCTACCTTTACAAAGTAAAATGACTCAGTTTGTATTAAGTTTGTGCCCTTTTCTGTGAGACAGTCTAATATATGTGCTGTTGCCACCTCTGATTTTGTTCTGGTTAAGATTTTGCAAATGCTGCCTT